AATAAATTAAATAATATAATTATATATGATGACGAAATGCCATACCATTTAATTATCAAATTTTTAGATTTTGGTATATATAATTAATTCTATCTCAGTTCTGTAAATTTTATTAAAAATAAATGTATTTCACAAACGAGATTCCATGAGTCATAATTATTTGACAAATGTTCTTTCATAAAAAAAAATCACATATTTCGAAAATTATTTTTAACGCTATATATTATATTGTAGAATTTAAAATTTATGATTCGGAAATAATTCAATAGATTTTACATATTTATAAGATATTAATTCTCTTAGCACATTATAAATAATCTCATAAATATTTCAATATCAAATTAACAAGTAATAAACAATATACACGTTTTTAAATAAATATTAATAAATAATAAAACATATCGAATTCGAATTCGAATATCTGAATTGAATAAATATTATTTAAGAAAAATTTTATAGTTTACTGATTTATTTCCTTTTGTACAATCTCTTTCCCATGTCATTTTCAATTTCAAAAAGATCTCGCCTTGAGACAACATATTATACCTCACAAACAACTTTTCCTATTGAAACTTATTGTTCAATTATCCATAGCTATGCTTAAGGGTTCTTTCGCGATGATGGCTCACAGCAACTGGGTCATAGGTCGATGTATCATCCACACTCTTCGCAAGAGGATTGTCGTTAAAATCATGAATCAATACTGCAGATTATATACTCATTATTTCTTCGACTCGCAGTTATAACTGCGTCTTCTCGCGTCAACTGTGCGCGCTATCTGCTCTTATCTGAACGAATGGAAACGTCTTAGGAATAATAACGCTGCTTCTCGATACTAAGTTTTGTGGAACGTCTAGGTTGCTACGTAATCAGCGTTTCTGATAACGAGAAATTGAGCTTTCAAGTTTTCAGTATGTTCTCGATCGGTACTGTATGTGCAGTGTCGCGTTTTGTGATCGAATACGAAGTCTCGCGAATATCTCAACAATCGCGACGTTTACCGAACACGAAAGATTCGCGCTCGTATATCAGTGGCGCGACATGAACGCGAATTCTTGACTTTGCAAGTTATTGTGCTCGAACGACACAAACAGGAACGTTTACCTTTCGCTTCCAGAAAAATCGTGGGAAATCGATCGGCATGGCCAACGTACCCGGTACCGTGTTCGCTGCCTTCTCGATCCTCAAGGATCACGTCAAATTCAAAGTTAATCAAAATTCGATAGCCATTGACAATATCAGTAAGATATTTCCATTTTAATACTATATACTTTTTATCATTATTTCTGATATATAATATTTGACACGAAATTGATGTACGATTGAAAGAATTTACATTGCGTCTAACTAATTGTCACACAAATTTAATTATCGATTAGTTATTATTCACATAACGTGTCTACTTAAAAATATTGTATGTTGTATTAGCTGACAATAAGTAAAGATAAAAAAATATGCGTATTAAATGTAAGTATACTTAATAAATACATTTATATCTAATACTCATATTTAAATACAATATTATAATTAAATATGTACATATATTTAATATAAATAAAAAGAAAAGAATATGGGTGTGCTTAGTTTTCAGATTACATTACAGAGCTACGTTTCTGTTGCTTCTCGTTGCGTCTATTCTAGTCACCTCCAGACAATTTATCGGAGAACATATAAGGTATATAGTATGTGTAGTAATCGTGCAGTTTTTGATATTAAATTGTTTATAATTACGTTGGATTTAAGCAGTTTAATATCGTTTCTTAAGATAAATTCTTATGTTATTTTTAAAAGGTGCATCGCCGACAGTGGTGTACCGTCAAAGGTTATCGAGACATTTTGCTTTTTCATGTCCACATACACCGTGGTAAGTCTAAAATTCTTGTAAAAATAAATGAAAGTAAATAAATAAAGTTGATGAACCGAGCAGGTTTGTTGTGTTAATAAATATTATGTATTAAATATAGATTGAAAATATAGATTGACTCTTAAATGCCTTTCTGATATGGTATATCCCGACTTTTTTATCCAATGCTTTTTCCATAATAATTTTTTTTTATTTAAATAAAGATACATATAACTGCATCATTGTGTTTCGTAATATCTAGCGTTTCGATTGAAAAAATTATTTTGTGCAATATGTTTATTTTTATGAAAATTACATGCGATCGAACTGGGTGTGGTCCCAGCAAAGAATAACCATCAGTTAGATGTTGAAATCATGTTATCGATGTCGGCTCGGCATCGTTTTTATGAATCATTTCTTACTAGGGTATGCCATACATTGCGTTTGTCCCCGTAACGGGGCGTTTCAGAATTAACGAACAAAGTCATATATTACAAAGTCACAGACGAGGTTTTGACTTTTATCGTAGTCATCTTCAGTGTGTTAGATGCTCGTCAAATAATGAAATTAAAATAAATATGAACGTTACGATGACATCGATGTAACGTTCATATAAAACGTCGTTTCATTTTTCTGAACATTCGAATAACGAAGCCAGAACGATATTGTGCCGATACTTATGTCACCAAATGGTACCCATTATTATTTCCCGCAGACGCTCCTTATTCCTTATTATCAGTTGATTTTCGATTGTTTAGGTGAAGCATCTGAATGCTACCGCGGTACAACAGGGCGAATTACCACATCCTGGCGTTGGACCAGCTGCCAAAGACGACCCTGTCATACACCATGCTTATTATCAATGGGTGCCCTTTGTTCTATTCTTCCAGGCACTCCTCTTTTACTTTCCGCACTACCTATGGCGAAAAACAGAAGGTCGTTACCAATTCATATCTCGCGTACTCGTCTACGTATCGCGCGACGTTTACGAGCGCGTTTATTTCAAGCGGCGAACTAATCATCATTAATCTTTTCCCGCCGTCATGATCTAGTCGTATAACATGTGCGTACAGTGTCCCACTTACAATGTAACATTACATTATTCATAAAATTATTTTTATGCAACGTCAGAGAATAATTAGGTATTACATTATGTAATCCACACAATATTGACGTTCAAATATTTTTTGTTATTTGAATATTCAAACCATTTGAATATTCAAACATTCTAAATTTCGAGTTAATCTCATCCCAAAAGAATGAACTCTCACTCTTAAAGAGTGAAAATTTTCTCTGGCAATCTAATCTCTTGAAAAGAGATTAGATCGCTATTCACTGATATTATCTTGAAAAAAGTGGAATTTTCACTCTTTCTGGAGTGAGATTCGCTCCAAAGAATTTAAAGAGAACGTATTATCCTACTTGGGAATATTTACATCCAAAAATGAGAATTGTTATACAGGCAGTATTGCGAAAACTGTCACAATTTTTTTAAATTCTAGGTGGCCGGTTAAATATGCTGGTATCAGGATTACATATGGCATCTTTGTCATTAAACGAAACGGAGATTAAGGTAAACGATAATGTGAAGGTGCCATCGAGAAAAGAACGCGATGAGAAGATACAACAGATTCGCATTGGCTTCATAAACCGCCTGCACTTGAATCGTCCATGGGCATACACTCTGACTCTTTGCGAGATTATGAATTTCATAAACGTGATCATGCAAATTTACTTGACCGACTGGTTCCTCGGAGGAGCTTTCTTCGGTCTTGGTCAGGCGGTCTCGGAGCCTCCATCTAAGGAGAAAATGGATCCACTTGATATAATATTTCCAAAGGTATAATTTAACTTGTTGTTATTTTTGTATTCTATACAATATTATGATTAAAATCGATGTTGTCATTTCTAACAATATTAACGTGATATATTATATAATATTTTTTTTAAATATTGATAACTACAGCGACTGTGTAGTAATCGATGCTACATAGATTAGATTATTATATATCTTATGATATTATATAATAATTATTATGATGTATATTGTTAATATCAGATTACTATTTGAACTGTAAATTCATTGAATTATTAACCGTCAATCTAACATTATTATTAATATTTTATAATGCAATCTCATACATTTTGAAATCCGATTTTTAAACGTAAAATTTTTATGAACTAGGTACTTCTCTCTCATCGATTATCAAAATTAATAAAATCCAACTCTTCATTCTTTCCTCTTTCAAAATTAATTCTTCGATTGTAAAATTTTATTAGTATCTACAATTTTGCCAACTTTACTTATTAATTACAAAATTTTTATCTTGAACATTGAATGTCAATATCTTTTACCTAATCAATACAGTGGCATTCATGAATATACAATTATATTCTTAGGTCACTAAATGCATTTTTCATAAGTACGGTCCTTCTGGTACCATACAAAAGCACGACGCGTTGTGTGTGATGGCACTGAACATCGTTAACGAAAAGATCTATACGGTCCTCTGGTTCTGGTTCGTCGCTCTGGCAATACTAACCGGTTTGGGATTGGTTTGGAGAATACTGACTATAATCTTTCACGCAAGGTAAATTTGGTCTCTACGTATTTTTCCATCGTCAGCATGTTAAGTTTTGTGGCTTTATAAATTCTCGTCATGGTACTCGCTCACTGGTTTCTTTCCTGAGAATTCTCATTTGACGAATTTACAATTGTCATACATCATATACGTAATTTGCAAAAGTAATTTCATGATGATTTTCTCAGCGTGTTCAGTAAACACTAATTATCAATAACATAACATTAACATTACAATTTCATTCAACATTCAACGATATAAATGTAATAACATATGTTATATGATGGTTAGATTGTTGAGTGTGAAATTATAACACTGATGTTATATATATAGAATTACTGGGAAAAGAATAATTTTAGCTAATATATTATATCTAAAAATTTAGTTAGATACAAATCTGAAAATATAATTTTATTAGATTATCAAACTAATTATGTAGGATGCTCAAGCTGGTTGTTAGAATATCAAAAATTTTAGCAACGTGTTTGAGTTTTTTACATAATTATTTTGATAATTCAACCAAATTAAATTTTTAAATTTGTATCTAAATTTTTATTTCAATAAAATCATTCTTTCCGTGTAGAATATTCATATCTCATCCGGAAAAAAACTGGATTTTATTTCTATTTTTATTTTTCGAAGCAATAATATTACTATTTAATGGTATATCCGCTGCAAATTTAAAATTCATAATATTATTCCGTAAAAATATATGCTAAAATATTATTTCATAATATAGAGGCGTGTCTACAAATTTCAACGGATATACGTCAGCGAAATCTAAGAAAACTTAAAAATATCATATAAATGACGAAATATAAGAAATAAATAACAATAAATAAAGGGCAAAGTAAGAGTCAATACATTTCTTTAAAAAAGTCATACAATCAAAAGAATAAATTACAAATAATGAAAAGTAAAATTAAAGAAAATATATAATAAAAAGTAAAAAATAAATAAATAAATAAATAAACTCAAGTTTAAATACAAATAAATAAATTACAAGTTTCGGCTACCGGATTGAGCCCTCTTCACACATTAACATATCGAAAAAAATCGCAGTACAATTATCGCAAATGTTCGCATATTCATTACATTCACAGTTCGGGTGAGTCTTGATGTAAAACTCGACATTATTTTCGTACGATTGAACAGTCAAATGTATTTCAAATATAAGAAAGTATACAAGAACTAGCAATGACGTTAATGTATACCACGATAAGGGTTCTTTATCTCAATATAAAAATGATGACGTAAACCATGACTGTGATGCCGCGGGCGAGCGACTTTCATTGTGGTTTTTTTCACTTACAGAAGTACGTCATTCAACAAGTTTGTGTTTTCCATGGCATGCCCTGGAAAGTACAATCCATGGAACGTACTCAAGGTCACTCACGAGTATTATTTCGGCGACTGGCTGTTTCTCTATTACATAGCGAAAAATCTGGACAACTATGTATTCAAGGAACTCCTTCAGAGTTTGGCGGAGGAATTGGAGAATAAACGTCACGCTCGTTATAAAATTGCACCACTAGAAGTGGAGCAGGAAGAATTGTTGAACAGGCAATGGGGAGAGAGTCTTAAATCTTCCAATGAGAACGAAAAAATAAAGTAACCTCTATATAATTATCCCTACTACTTATCCCTAATAATTATCTGTAAATAGACGATTTCGAGAGAGAGAGAGAGAGAGAGAGAGAGAGAGAGAGAGAGAGAGAGATTAATGACATGGATAAATGGATCAATAACTATTTGTTTAAATCCATACTGTTTTGACGAAATTTCAAATTGAAACACATGGTTTTAATATTTTAATTAATTACTTAATTAACTTATATAAAGAGTTTCTACGAGAATATTGACGTAAAGAGCCGATGATATGAGTTTAACAGATAAATATTGGATAAATCCGCTACAATTGCATGTGATTTATAACAATGCGACGATCGTTGCATTGTTAATGTTTACGCCATCCGAGATCGCTATCTCGCGTGCAAAAATGCGGACTATTCGAAGCGGATAGCAAGAAGAATATATTGTGCACCTACATGGACAACAATCGCGTGTATTCACACGCGTATTATAACACTGCCAAATTGTCTCTTTACGTATAAATGTATAATACTTTAGCTGCGATTTACTACGATTGTAGAATAATGCGCGTCTCGCGTGCGTTGTGTCGCAGACTTGCATAGTCACATTTGTAGCCACGCACGACATAACTGCTCAGTCGATCGTCTTTTAACTACCTCGTACGAAGGATTCGTGTGTACGTTACGTGCGATCGTATGTCGAGCATATGCGCATGCAAACGGTTACATGCGTAAATACGTCCGTACGTTGCACCGACTCGATAAATGGGTCCGACAATAATTCGAATCGTTAAGTCGTTAAGGTCTCTGATTGGAATTATGCCATGGCCTAGTATCGAACAATCGCGCGTTCGATACATTTAAGTTTTACAGCTCTAAAGAATTATTACTCGCGTATCTTGTATCGATCGTTCGAAAATATCGACTTGATAAAAGATCTACATTTATCTCATATTTATAATTTCCCATCTAAGAACAGCTTCGATTTAGTTTCACGTGAGAGATCATTTTCGACTTTAAATCTACTGTAGCTTTAGATTTATATAAAAACCACATGTTTTGTTAAATCATTGCATTTAGATGTTGCATAATCGATCAGCATAAGTTATTTATATTCTAGTGAACATAAAAATCGGAGTGTAAGTCAAATGTCAAGGAAACAAAACGAAACTTTAAAAGGTATTTATATATCTTGGAAATTCCATTTACGCTTCTCTGTTGCTCTTCCTTTATACCTATTCAACTTATTTTTATTCCCGTCGCTCCGATTTTTATTTTCGTCAGGGTATTAAATATTTATACAATATTGTATGCTACGGTTAAAACACGCTTATATAATATGATATATAAATTTTTACAAGTTCTATCAATAAATATTTATAATAAAACAATTTACTATTGTTGCGGCTGTATTTAATATTCACTGAGGATGACTCCAAAGTGTGTCGAAACGTTCGACGAAACAAATGAAGATGGTCGTCAGCATCTGAATATTCATCTGCATTTCCTAAATATAGAAAATTTATTGCATTTTCTAAATTTTCGCTCTTACATCTGCGCTTGACTCTCATTAACCTTTGTCCGAATTTATTGTTTTGCTTATTTACTATTTAACAGATAGAAGGACTCTTCCTATACAAAATAAATAACAATAAATAAAGGATAAAGTAAGAGTCAACACATCTCTTTAAAAAAGTCACACAATTAAAAGAATAAATTACAAATAGAGAGTAAGTAAAATTAAAGAAAATATATAATAAAAAATAAAAAATAATAAAAAGTCAGTTTAATTACAAATAAATTGCCAGTTTCGACTACCAGATTGAGTCCTCTTCAGACATTAACTTATCGAAAAAATCGCAGTACAAAATTAATTATCGCACAAGTTCGCATTATATTCACAGTTCGGGTGAGTCTTGATATAGAACTCGACATTGTTCACGTACGATTGAACAGGCAAATGTGTTTCATATCTCTTGGAAAAGTTCTAGTTGATAAAAAAGATAAAAAAATTTCTTACGAAAAAGTAAACGTAAATAAATTAACATACCAGAATTCTAATAAGAAATAAAAACCAAAAATCATATGTCAAACAAGTGTGTCCATATAAATATAAAAAAAACATTAGAATATATAAAGAGTGAAACGCAGATGTATAAGACGGACATTGTGTATCGATTATTATTGTACGCTTGCTGATACGGATCACCACGGACTGAGAGAAGAGACGGACCGTCAGTAAAGAAAAGTCAAACCTTATTTACAATAGGTATGTATGCCTTATGAAGACCTTCAGTGTCAGTTTGTAAATTCTTTTCTGCTTCTTAATATTGAGCATCGGAAATTAAGCGTTTCCCATAGCAAGGCTCTTCATCTAAAATTCTAACATTATCCCATTGAAAATCATGATCATACTGCAGCCTGTGCTCCGTTATGACAGAACGGACAGAAGTGTCATGTCTAATATGATTACGATGTTCTGTAATTCTGGTTTTCAATTGTCTGCCCGTCCGTCCAACGTACGACGTATCACAATTATTACACGATGTCTTATAGACTACATTGCTCTTAGATGCATGAGGATAAATATCCTTTTGTACTTTAATATATTTACCCATTTTATTAAGACGTATGAAAAGATAATCTGACGATCGTTTTTATTGAACCGTTCAAATTTTTCTGTGTGAAGAGGAATGAAGAGTTCTACATCAAGACTCACCCGAACTGGGAATATAATGAATATGCGACAATTAATTTGTACTGCAGCACTACTTTTTTTCGATAAGTTAATGTCTGAAGAGGGCTCAATCCGGTAGCCGAAACTTGTAATTTATTTGTATTATTCAAACTGAGTTTTTATTATTTTTTATTTTTTATTATATATTTTCTTTAATTTCACTTTTCTCTATTTGTAATTCTTTCAATTGTGTGACTTTTTTAAAGAAATGTGTTGACTCTTACTTTGCCCTTTATTTATTGTTATTTATTTTATTTACTATCACGCATGTAACAATTTCCAACGAAATTCATACGCTGAAAGCGTGCAACATGACACGACGCCCGACATCCTTCAGCCAGAAGTTTTTCCACGAGACGTTTGCAACTCTCTTTACAGCGGGCTTTTGTCTTCGTGCGGATGCATACCGAGAAACCTGAGAGTCCGGGCTGGAATCGTCACGGCCGGAACTGCAACCATTATGTTCTCTTGGTCGAGAAATGAGAGGCGACGAGAAAAAGAAAGACGTTGCCTTTGTGTCTGTGTGTCGCCGCACTTGGACTTCAAACTCCGACGAGCCATTTATTTTCATTGTTCCATGCCATTCTTGCTTGGACAGATCAAGCCGGCCCAGTTGCGATCGATCGACGCAATATATCTGTAGCGAGTGTTTTAGAAACGGGTACCTCTATAACGGGGCTTATATCGCGGCTAAGCACATGCGTATAGAACCCGTAACTTTGTGCTGATTGCAAATGAGCATGGAGATAGTCAAAATTGATTCTGCCAGTAATGAATCATAACGGTATTTCTTTTACTTTTACTTTGAATTATATCGTATTCGTAGAGGAAATTATAGGAAGACTCAGACATTTAGTTTCCAGAGTCCAATTAGTCAGAGAGTTGATAATAGCGGATGTTGGATATCCGGATGTTGAAGATAACAATTTTCGGAGATTTCTCCCCATAAACGCAGTTATGCGAGAGGGGCCATTAAAGAAGGAAAATCTTACTTAAAATTATAGCTCAAAACTAAAAGGCTGTAATATATAACTTCTTAAATATTTTAATAAAAAACATTTCAAGTATATGTGTGTGTGTGTGTGTGTGTGTGTGTGTGTGTGTGTGTGTGTGTGTGTGTGTGTGTGTGTGTGTGTGTGTGTATTTATATAATGCTTTATTTTTTCTTCTAACTAATTATATGATATTCAATTTATCATACGATTTTTAATGCGAAGCCAGCTCCAAGAAATAAACAGCTTCTTCGCTCCAACAGTTACTGCCAGCCACTTTTTGTATAGTAATGCCAAATTTTATGACATCGCGTTATTTGAGCTTGAAATATTTATGTTGCTCTTATACAGTAACTTGAACTTTTGGTCGGATATTCAAAACGTTATCTATCAACCTTTGTCAGTTTTGAAAAGAGATCAAATTGTCTAAAAGTAAAAGGGAAATCTGGAAAACAGATGTGCACTTACTGGACAACGTTCGGGGTTATATTACAGACCCTGCTGTCTAAATGATTTGGGCCCGGTCAGGATTGACATTTCCTTATCGTTTGTAATTTTTAATTAGTAAAAAAAAAAGGGACAAAGGAAAGGAGAGAGTTTTCCATAGAAATATCTAAAAGAGAGACACAGATGTTGAAGATAATATTGTTGAATGTTGGAAAGACAATGCTTTTGTTTCGTGAACATTGTAGTTCTCAACGGCAATGGTCGTCCAAAGGCGTTATACACTTCGCATACAGTCGCAATGATAAGTCGAAATATATGCTGATAGCGTGTGGTACTTGCGGGAGTCGAACGCGTGTACGCAATGCAGAACGCGGTTCATTTTTCGTCAAAGGATTATTGTACCGGATCTTCATGAGAAAATTCAGATGCATCCGCGCGATATGTCGCAAGGGCGCCCGCGATATTTGCATGCCGCGGGCAGCGCGAATCGTCTTCACGTAAAGAAGATAAAATCTAAGGTTTAGACGGATGTAGGTACGAGTTGAGCGTCGTGATCGCGCATCACGATGCATATGTTGCACATTCCGGCGCGTCGTAAGTCTCGAAGATGTTTTCGTTTATCTCGCGAACGCTCTCGGCATGCACTAATGTAGATATATTCTTTGAAAGATCCGTCTCAGAGCCGCTTTATGAATGAGCCGTCTTGATCCATAAACGTTGACGCGCGTGCGTTTCCAGGAGGTTAATAAGAGATGTGTGAGATATGTTTGAGGAGAGGAAGCGTCTCGATTCAAACAATAAGCAATCTTGTACGGCGACGTACATCCGACTTTTCTTACCACATGCTGCATGTATGTAATACGACGAACATCCTAATGCATTAAATATCCTCATGCATGAGCAACAGGTTGCTCTTAATCTATCTAGGACACCAGATGTACGACATCGCGTGTATGTACGGGCGAGTTATTATGTATATGCGTTACTTCGTATACGTATTTTGTCTAGATGTTAGAAATCACATTTTGTTTCACGTCATTTACAGCTGACTCTGTCATTCTAAGAAAAATACGGAACGCAGATTTAAAGCTGTATATATATCTCTCAATATTATAAGTATTATGTAATAATAAATATAATAGGTTGTAATAAATAAATTTTAATATTTATAATTATATAAATATTAAAAACTAATACTAAGTATTATAGATTTTTGTGTATTGTTCGAGTATTGAAAATGTATAAAAATATTTTTTTTTTTTTGGTCATAAACTAATCTTTTTCTGGTTCGTAAAAAAAGGGACAATGTGACGAAAAAAAAAAGGTTTAAGGCAGAATGGTTGATTTCAGCTTCATATTTCAGCTTTAGATTTCAAATATATGCTTTTCAAGCGACGAACGAGCGACAGAGTGGAAACTGTTGCTGCACGAATTCATTATAGATTATCATTATAGACAAAATTGTGTCACAACAATTTTCAATTTCGTGACCCTACCATAAACCGGATCGTCCGATCTATGGCGGCTATGATAGCGTTTCGGAGAGATCGGAATGCACGCTTCCACGTGTGCAGGACGAATTACGATTGCGATCGAAGTGCTTCGTCGGACAGCGTACCGAAAGCGAATAAAAAAAAAAAAAGAATACAAGTGAAAGGTCCGCCGAGGTTAAGGAACTTGACGAACCCTACTAAAAAGCGGTTGTGTGTAATTATTTCCATTTTTATTGCGAGATACCTGTAATTCGAGCAATCGTTTCTCTCCGTTCACTTGTATACAGCTTGGTTAGATAATTCGCGTACATGAGGGAATAAATAAAATTATGATCGAAGAATTCTGTACGTCATTTCTTCAAAATGGCGCCAAACAATTTCTGCGATCAGAACTGAAGAGGATTCATATGTAGAAAAAAAAATTGTTTAATGAAAGAAAGAATGATTCTGCTAAAATATTTAAAAAATTTAGCTATGTTGGTAATAAACCACGATGACGGGTAATTCTATCTTTCCATCGCGCGTTAAGGACATGATATATTTCATTTTTATTACCTTATTTAAATTTTTACGATGCTGTGGTATCCTTAATTTCTGCAAAAAAATCTGTATGCTCACGAAAGATAAACGATTTTGTTGAAGTATCTAAAAAGTT